GGAATATTATTTAAAAATGTTCTATTTCAGGTACGGTAAAGTATGTTCATCGAGTTACACTGTTTAATGGTGCTTCTTATAGGCGAGCTCATGCTATGCCGCAAACTGGGCTGGTTTAAATTATGAGAGAACTCTGCTGAGAGACAAGTTGGTGTATGTGCGTGAGGAAATATCAAATATTGTTTAAAAATATAAAAAATAATAAAATTAAAAATAACAGCGCGTGAGAACAGTTCCAGTATCTGGTCTCATTTGAGCTCCATCAGAAAAGGCATATTACAGGAACATTGTATTACCGTTTACTGCAGGGTTCCTCAAATCTTGCCCTGGAGGGCCAATGCTCTGCAGAGTTTAGCTCCAACCCTAATCAAACTCACCTACCTGTGACATTGATTAGCTTGCTCAGGTGTGTTTGATTAGGGTTAGAGCTAAACTCTGTAGGAAAATGGATCTCGTCGGCCAGATTTGAGGATCCCTGGTTTACTGTCACTGTCAGGGACTATTTTTCTAACAAAAGGATGGAATTAATGATTTTTCATTTTAAAAAAGTAACATATTAATACATATATTTTGCCTTTAATATATGCATTGTGTGGTAATTAGGGATGTAATGACTCAATCAACTCATGATGCGATACGATTCACGATACTGGTTTCACGATATGAATTTCTCACATTTAAGACAAATTATAAATGAAAAAGTGTTCATTTGTTATTTCTCAGACAAAATGCTGCATATTTCTTTGTGAATTTGAAATATGTCAAATAACAAAAATAAATTGAAATTGGAAAACAAATCAAATAAATAAATAATACTAATAAAATAAATATTTTTATATTAAAAAAACTTTTTTTTTTTTTTTAAATATCAGCATGTCCACATTTTCCAGCAAAAAAATGCACCTTGTACAGAAAATGCTTTTGAAGCAAAAGCAGAATGGTCTGACTTTAGCTCTGTGAAATTATGCTACATAAAACTACATAAAAGCAGACAGACTGCATGAGAATGCAAATTCACTCTCACACATATGTGGCGCTTATGGAATAGCAGCGATATAGCGTTTCCGTGGTTACTGGCTGTAAGCAGCAATGTTACACAGAGGCGAGATGCATCTAAACTTTTCTGAAAGCAGTCAGTTCCCCTCAGAGATACTGTACATTCATTTAAACCCCCGCCCCCAAATGTATCGTGATTCGTTTAACATCTCAACAAGACTTGAATCATCACATCCCTTGTTACATCCCTGGTTATATAATATGTATAGGTGCTAACAACAGCCCTTAGCTGTTCTAAATTCACTGTAAACAACTGCTTCCTGGGACGTATTTCTTTATTTTAAAACCAAAATTTTCAGTCCTTGATTCTGATTGGTAGAGCAGTGGCACAGGAATACTGTTGTAATGAGGTCAAAGGTGTATGTTTGTAGAGTAATTTACAACAGCTTTGAACGCGGCTCAATCAATCAGACTCAAGAACCGGAACTACCTATTTTATAAGGAACGTTACACTCTTGAGATTTAGAAGCAGGGTTATGAAACCTGCTCTGAAGCAGGGTTAGCCCCATGTTTGCAATCTTAACCCCGCATTACGGTTCCCAACGTGTACAGACTGCAAAAATAAGAGGATGCGCAAGTCATTATATAAACAGGTTGTTGCTGCATTCGTCCAATCAATGACACTGACACTGCAAATATGCAAATAAGAACGTTAACGTTTTACAGTGTGAAACGTCATTTTATGAATACCCAGAATTAACTGTTAACCCCGCGTAAATTATGAGCAGTGTGAAATTAAAAGATAGATAACACTGGATTCTGTTTATCAGGGGTTTAGAATGACCCAGGGTTAACTATTTAGTGATAAAAGTGTGAAGAACATTTAAATAATCTAAAATACCATTTTCTACTATAACCTTTTGTCCAATAGGCCTATAAAGATTCCATGGATGTCCATTCCATGGAGGTTCAACTTAGTTTTGTAATGAATAGTAAATAAACAATAAAATTAATATGGAAAGCAGCTCAGATCATTTGGTCCTAGAAGAATTTGATTAGATTTTTTTTTTTTTGAGCTTTGATCAAATGTGCATATTTAGATATAGGACTTTTGAATACAGACTTTGATATCTTGGCAAATCTTGGTAGTCATTTTTGGAAACATGGGAAATATTCTGAAGCAGGAGTTTGAATTCCAAAACATGATGCATTAATATGCTTTATTATATTTAATATAATGTGTTGAATAAATAAATGTTTGTTGGTAACTCTGCTGTGTTTCTCTCTGTAAAAAAACAAAAAACACCCACACAAACACATATTTAATGAGTGCAAACTTAAGAACACAAGCCACAAACAACAATCCACTAAAATGTTACTGTGAAGGCTGTGTCATTTACGGCAAATCAGATCATCTGCGGCGAAATGCAGTGTAATGGAGGAGCATAAGGTACTTTCGGTTGTTGTGCGAACGTGTGAGCATGTATCTCACCACCTCTCTGCTTCTCTCTATCACAAGAACAGACAAGTGCCGCCATTAGAGTTAACACTTCTCTGCCAACAGTGGTTGGAAACACTTGCAGGCTAACCTAACCACATGCTGTTAAAAAAAAAAAACCCACAAGTTTATTGTTCTCACAGTGATTATTCTGACATTGTGTCATAATAATAAGTCATTGATTTCACTATGTTTTAGGAAGTGTTAGAAAAAAAACACACAAAGGAGATCAAAAGCACAAAGGAGATCTCAACATTGTCACAAACTGTACTCTGCTATGAACAATTTAAACTTCTAAAACATTAGTAAACAGAAGGTTCAAGTCTCCTGAACTAGGCTACATGACAAACAACCTGAGTAATAAAAGTTTCCTCTTGAATCAAGATATATAGCCTTTGTTAGCAACTCAGTATGATTCAGACAGCATGATGTAATACTCATTTGCAGAAGTTTAACCTCAGGATGTCACAGAAACACAGGGTCAAATCCAGAGAATGGTCCGAATTAGAAACCAAATCCAACCAATAGCAAAAGTCAAGAGTAATGAAAATAACAGTGAAGGAAATAAGACCAGAATTTCAGAGAACGTCAAAAATGTACAAAACTAAATGATACACAAGCTATTTTGCAAAGAGGAACTACGCTATTTTCTGTGAATGTGCGAGTATTCTCATTCATTAGGGGGCAGTCATGGCCTAATGGTTAGAGAGTCAGACTTGTAACCCAAAAGTTGTGGGTTTGAGTCTCAGGTCCGGCAGGGATTGTCGGTGGGGGGAGGGAATGACCAGCGTTCTCTTCCACCATCAATATCACGACTGAGGTGAGACCCTTGAGCAAGGCACTGAACCCCCAACTGCTCCCCGGGTGCCACAGCACATGGCTGCCCAATGTTCACGGTGTGTGTGTGCACTTGGATGGGTTAAATGCATGGGTCACCATACTTGGCCACACTTCACTTTATTAGCCTCTTTAGGTAAAAGCAAATTACGAGCTCAATATGTTTTGGCGACCTCTGTTGACAAGAAACGTGCACTGCAAGCTCTGTCACCCCTCCATGGTCATTCTTAGGGTGCAACAATCATCTCTAAAACTGAGAGTTTAGAATGCCATTCTGTAATATAATTGCACAATATGTTATATTTAAACAGTATCACACTAAGAGTGCTGTTGTACTATCTGCATGATTCCGCCACAGGCACAAGGCTGCTGATATTCACTGAACAACTGTAGAAATGTGAAGTTGCTAATAATTATAAAAATCACAAAATGACAATCTGACCTCTCTTTTTAGTCCATGGATGTTCATAAACTCTCATGTGATCCTCTTCAAATGCAGATGTTCACTAACAGAAAAAAGTTTGTCATCGCTTAGTGTTATATTCACACCTTAGGGCACTAATATACAACAAATTACCTTAATCCAGTTAGTTCTGCGATACCATGGCATTGCTTTGTTTTAAAATCTACAGGAAAATTACACAACATTAAATGACATTATATTATATAATTTATAATAAAATATATGTTTTAGACTGGAACATTACAAGAAAAATGACAACTGCAAGTTTTTGACATGTAACAACTCAAATATAACCAACATACATTACAAATAGCATATATTGTCACTGTCTCGGCAGACAAAATGACAACAACAACAAAATACTTGGACAGATTTAAAAAATCTCTCAACTAATGACCATATAATTAAAAACCTTAATTAATAATGTTAAAAATAAAATAAACGTAATAACTGGAAAAAAAATCTATAGGCTACACTAGAAATAAGTGTCACAACCTGAAATTTCAGAAGAAGAAAAAATAGAAAAAAAGTCTTAAAATAGGATACAAAAAGTACATCGTGTAAATGTTATATTTATGGTTTATAATGTTTATAACTAAATAGCCTATGCTTAAATCTAAGACAGTTTTAAAATGGATATTGTTCAACATCTTAAGGTCAAAAAGGACCGAATACCAGAACTGAACCAATTCATAAACACAGATTTGGAGTTTCAAAGATCCAGTTGCATAAACAAAGTCACCATTAAGAACTAGTTTGACTAACTAGCAGTTAACCAAGTAGCTAGTTATCAGTCTTACTTTTCAGATTCAAATTAGATCAATCTACGTTTTTATGTAACTGACTTTTTTTTAAAAATAATTATGACCAGTCTTTCAGAAAAGAATTAGGTGTCTAACTTTTAAGACTAGGCCACACTTTACCTTCCAGTATCTCTGCAAGTGCATGAGACATAGTACAGCTGGCCTCCAAAAGTATGTATACATACACGAGTTTGCATAAAGCTTTTGTTAATTACGAATAAAAAAAATAAAATAAAAATCAGAGCGGAAAAACAACGTTTTGGAAACGGTTTATGGATGGGTTTGTTTTGCGCGCTCCCTAGCGGTGAGATAGCGCTAGTGACGTGGTCGGATGTTTACGATCTCCATGGTAACCAATTACCCTAATCGCTGACGAATAAAACACAAACTGTTACCAGCAGATATGAGCGTCTCTGTGACACAAACATTTCACAAGAAAAATGAGGGCAATAGGGGATTCAGACAACAGAGGACTTATGATTATTTGTATGGTGAGTTACGAATACGCTATACTGTACAGTTGCAAATCATTGTTTAACCTATTTGACCATAGCCCACGGGTATTATAAGAAAGTATATTGTGTCATTTATGATTTAAAAAGGCTATTGTATTAAACTGTGGATGATGGTGCTGTTTTTAGACCCAGCCTACACATTGTCAGCTGATGAGGAACACGCCAGGGAAAACTTCCGAGCTCATGCCTCAGTGGATCGAGTGGTAAGATGAGATAATAAACAACACTAAACAGCTACAAACACTAACGTTAGCACAGCACAGCTCATCGCGTGCTAATAATGTTTCAGATGTTGCAGATTTATGTAGCTATTGCGAGTCCTTGACCTGCAGTCACCAGCATTGTGCTGCTACTTCACTTGAGACCGGAAAACACAAAGACACAAGTGTAGTTTTCCACTGCGAACTTAAGTTCAAGCTTGTTGAACTCAAGACTGTCTTGTGACTGGGCATAGAGAAAATATATCATCTGGCCAAAAGAGGATCTGCAGTGTATGACACATATAACGTTACATATTTGGATATAAACGTTTATTTAACTATGAAAACTTTCCTTAAAGTGTCTTTCCAAGAAAATTGAAAGTAGCCTATGCTTTTTTTGAAAGTAAACTGGAGAAACATTTTGTTCTGTGCTTCTAACATTATAAGTGCACCAAAAGAGTAGACAGTTGTGTTTTGTCTCTAACAGCGGAAGGTCCCAGAGTTTAACTCCATGTTTAGTAATCTGACACATCACCCCCGTTGACCCTGTGCCTGCGTTCATTGATCGCCGTTGGCAGGGCTATGTGGAGCAGAAGAGACAGGCCCTGCAGCGACTGACAGGGTAAGAGTCACCACGTCCCCGCTCTGTACACAATCTTCTTCTTCTTCTTCTTCTTCTTTTTGTTCAATGGCCGTTCACTCCTTAGGAGTATTACCGCCACCTACTGTATATCTTGCGCACATGAGTGATGAATCTGTACTGAAGGAAAAAAAATAAATAAATAAATAAATAAATAAATAAAATATTTGTGTAATGCCCCACCCACCCCAGAGGATCAGAGCCCAAGCTTCAGCTGGCGCTGCGTGTTCAGCTCCTCCAGCTTCCACACTGTGCTCCTCAACCTCCGAGATGGGCAGAAGCATCATGATCCTCATCCTCAAACACTAAATCCTGTGGTCTAATCCTGTGAGCTCTAAAAATTTTAAAACCACCTTAAACATCTGACTATCACTCAAACCCTTTCCCAGAAGGTCCACGACACTCACTGGTCTGTTCCTTACATTGCTAAAAAGACTGTTATGCTGATCTTCATATTTACGACATTTAAAGAGCACATGCTCTACTGTTTCAAAAACACCACATTCATCACACATACCATTTTCATGCTTCCCCATTAATGCAAGTGTTGAATTTAGTCCTGTGTGACCCATCCTTAATCTAGAAATCATTACTTCTTCCTTTCGGTGTCTTCCACTCTGTACACAATCCAAAGACAATAAACATTATATTAGATGGGTGAATCTCACAAAAAAAAAAAACATGTCCAGGACACTTTTCACACTAAAATTAAAAGAAAAAAGAAGAAATGATTTGCATGAAGAAAATAAAGTCTATTTTTATCACCGCCATTTTTGCATTGTGACATTTTGCAGTTTATAAGCACATTTCCTTCACATATTATCCACCAAGTGATTGAGCTCTTTTATTTCTTTGATTTATTTCTTCGTTATTGTTTGTGGATTCTTGTTGGGATATTTTAACGTGTTCTCTTGTTCTCTGTCTCTTATTCTCTGCACCAAGGCTAAACAAAAATACAGTAAACACAGTAATATTGTGAAATATTATTACAATAAAAATAAGTGTTTTGTATATATATTTTAAAATGTGATATATTCCTGTGCAAAGCTGAATTTTCAGCATCATTACTCCAGTCTTCAGTGTCACATGATCCTTCAGAAATCATTCTAATATGCTGATTTACTGCTCAAGGATCTTCTTATTTTGATCAATGTTCAAAACGGCTCTGCTGCTTAATATTTTTGCGGATACCATGGCAATTTCTTTTTTTCAGGATTGTTTGATGAATAGAAAATTCAAAAGAACAGTATTTATTTTAGATAGAAATATTTTGTAGCATTATAAATGTCTTTACTGTAATTTTAGATCATTTTAATGAACCATTGCTGAATATATAAATAAAATAAATGCATTTCTTCAAAAAAAAAGTACTGACTTTTTTTAATGATAGTGTATGCTGTATTTTCGTATGAATCAATAATATTTTATATTCTTGTGTCTGTGTAAGGGTTGTGTCTCAGATACATAGACCCAACCACGCAGATGTGACAGGAGTAGACCGCTGGAAGTTTTTTAAACGGTAGGACATACATAAAAATGAGTGCGAATTCATTAGCTAAAAGTTTTAGAATGAAAAAAAAAAAAAAACGGTTAAAGTGTACAAATTAGAATAACATTTTTCTCTTTCACTTTCCTTCACCTTTTTTCTCTCAGTCCTCTTATTCCTTTCACTCAACAGATTCCTCCTGATGTTGTATTTGCTTTGTCACAGTAAGTCAAGTGGTGCTTGTTATTTTTATTGTTCTATTCAATATCTATGATTTATCAAATACTGAACCTTCTTACAATTTTTTTTTTTTTGCATCTGTCTCTGCACTATGTTTTTCTCAGATCTGACCTTCTTTCTGCTTCGTATGGAGATGAAAAACGTTCCCCCACTCCGTTCCAGCGGAGCGTGGGAGTTCAGACTGATTATCGGGAGAGTGAGACACAGACAGACCCCTTTTCTCCAGACTATGCGGTTCGTCCTGGGACAGCCCCCACTGAGCTGCTCACACTGGCCACTCTCACATGGGGTAAACAGCGCAAAATACAATAATAATGTATTATAATTGTGTCTCATCAGTGCCTTATCCAGTCAGCTCCTGTACAGTTTGACAATGTTGCACAAACTTCGCATGTTTGAAGCGTTTGTGTTCACACAGATGTTTTGGAACTAACAGTGCTTGTTTTCAGGCCGCGGGCTGCCTGCAGTATGAGAGCAGCTCATGATCCAGTGTTTTCAGTCTTTCAAACATGAAGCATTGCAAACACACGACACACACCAAATCTTCACAAATTTCGGAAGAATCACCTATATATGTTTTCAACAAAAAAGAAGCTTTGAGGTCTCTCAGCGGTTTTCCTTCTTTTTGTCTTTAGTTTGTCAAATTATAAATAATATGAAACATTGACAAAATAACCTTTAGCATATATAGATATTTCAAACAGACCAAAAATGTTGATGATGCACTTTACCACAATTACATACACAAAGAAAAGACAACTGTGCTTACAGTGTTTTATTCAATTTGTTTGTGAGGCATGATAAAAAAGCCATCATTCCTATAAATCACTTATTCAAATCTTGAACTAAATGAAGCGTAGCATGCATTAAGAGCTGTCTGGACATTTGTGTTTAAACCATAATACAGTACATGTTTTAAGTCGGATTATCCTGATTTATGAAATAATAAGCATGTAAAAACTGACATAATTTTATCGATCGTTTTCCTGTTTCTCACAGCAATGCGGAAGCTGCTGGCAAAACGGAGGAATGTGGAGGGAAAGCTGGAGAGACGTGATATTATAAAAGATTACTCAGATTATGGGTTTCAGACATACGCACCTCTGTCTCAGTTTGGCCAGACCTCGGACCGAAATTCCAACCGCAACATGGTCAAGAGTCACTTTCTCAGCACGTATGAAGGTCTGTTTCTGTTTGCAGAAGTTGTTTTCCTTATGACTATTCAGGATACAGTAAAGTTTGTTGTTGATGATTTTTTGTAAATTTTTATTTTTGAAATATTTACTAATATGCAAATAACATTTTATTCTAATATCTTTCTTTCTTTCTTTCTGAAAATGTTATCCATTAAAATCCCTTACCCTATTCTACTTCTTTTGAAACTAAATCATGGTCTTTCCTGAAAAAAAAAAAACATAAACTTTTTAAACTTTTAAACATAAAAAAAGCCTTTAACAGAAAAAAAAAACTGGTTAATTTATTTTAATTGTTATTGTTTTTCATTGTATTATATTTTAAATATTCTAATGCTTGAAAATAATATTTAACTTTTTTTTTTCCTCTTCCAAATCAAATCATTCTGCTTATTAAGGAGAGTTGTGCCTCGTTTTTTTCTAAGCAATTACAATGTTTTCTAAAACCAATTATTTTTCTAATACCAGTGATATCTCTGTGTTTCTCAGGTCTGTTAGAACTGGAGGCAGGTCTTTCTTACTGAAAGTGAATATCTGTACCTTTCAAGGAAATAATACACTTTAAATGTACTGAATTGTAACTTCATAATTACAAATTAGTAATTACAAATATATTTTTAAATACACGCCATGCAAGTTTCAGTAGAAATGACAAAAAAAATATGTTTTAGCTTACGATAAATTCTTGTTGGTACATATGTTTTAAAGACAATAGAAGTTGTTATGAAATTACATATAAAGTCAAAAACTAATTGCAGTAAATATAAATTTAAACTAATACATTTTCAGTTAATTGCAATTAACTTGCAATTTCTTAAACATCTACTGAAAGTGAATATCTGTACCTTTCAAGGAAATAATACACTTTAAATGTACTGAATTGTAACTTCATAATTACAAATGAGTAATTACAAATATATTTTTAAATACATGCCATGCAAGTTTCAGTAGAAATGACCAAAAAAAAATGTTTTAGCTTACGATAAATTCTTGTTGGTACATTAGTCAGTACATTTTAAGCATGTTTTAAAGACAATAGAAGTTGTTATGAAATTACATATAAAGTCAAAAACTAATTGCAGTAAATAAATTTAAACTAATACATTTTCAGTTAATTGCAATTAACTTGCAATTTCTTAAACATTCTTTTAAATTATATTATTTCTGTAATAATTACTCTTTTATAAAGTGCATTCTTTTTCACAACAGTAAGACTGTCCTAAAAGAACCACTGCTCTCAAGTGATCTGAGGATACTATATGATACACACGTGTATGAACATTGACTTTCGCTGAATCATTTATTTTGGAATTCTTTTTGTATGACACATCTATCATTCTGAGATATCAATGTTGTGTCCATGACAGGGAGATGAGGAAAGGGAACTGGCCATTATCTTTCTGCAGAAAGTGCTCAGAGGAAGATCCGCGCAGAATCAGGTAAGGCTCAGTGGGCGGAGCGTGGTTTTCTAACCGATGGCTCGTGTAGTCGCCGATGTGAATGGATTATGATGTCTGATGGTTGGCAGATGTTCGACGGAAAAGAGAAACGGTTGGAACTGATCCAAGAACTGCGCACCACCCACGCACTGCAGAAGGAGGAACAGGACAAGAAGGAGGCGGAAAAACAGGTCACACTCGCCCTGCAGAGACAGAGAGACATCCAGTCTGAAAGAGTAAGACCGGAGACATACAGTAAATGTTTAAGAAAGGAAAATACACACCTGCTGTACCATGTGAACTTTGACTGATAAAACTGCATACTTATCTCAGAACAATCAAAATAATTTTTTTTAGGCTTTCACAACATCAGCTCTGCTTTAGCATGTACCACTGATCTTTTCATTGCTTCTCAGCATGGGTCACATCACGAAGAGTCAGATTTTCCTGTTTTGAAATGAAACGGTTCAATGTATTATGAAAACATTTTCATATTTTTCCCTGTAATTTTCAGAACTCAAAACCTTCCCCTAGTGAAAAATAATGAAAATAATGTAAGCTATTTTTAACAAAGTCATTGATCACTACAGTCTGATCTTAACAGTTTGTGGGGCATATTTTGGTTTTAAAGGAACTGTTCACACAAAAAATGAAAATCTGCTGAAAAGGTACTCACCCTCAGGCCATCAGTAGATGAGTTTGTTTCTTCGTTCAAACAGATTTAGGGAAATTTAGCATTTCATCACTTCTGCAGTGAATGGGTGCCGTCAGAATGAGAGTCCAAACATCTGATGAAAACATCACAATAATCCACAATTAATGTCTTATGAGGTGAAAACCTGTCTGTAAAAAAACAACCATTAAGGCATTTTAACTGTAAACAGTCACTGTAGCCAAAATACGAGTCGCTAATCCATAAGTCAAATTTTCTAGTGAACAAAAGTTCATCCCCACACCAAAATCCATCCACATTTTAGAAGTTTTTTTTTTCTTACTGTTTTCACTTGTAAACGATGCTTGTTCTGTCCATATTTCTCTCCTGATTCAGATAAGACACCTTTTTCACTCGAGAAAGCAATATTATGGACAGAGGACTCAAATTTTAGCCGGAAGCAATGATTTGAAGTTTTGATTCTTTTAAAAATTTGTTTCTTACAAACACACAGGTTTTCACCTCATAAGACATTAATTGTGGATTACTTGTGGATTATTGTGATGTTTTTATCAGCTGTTTGGACTCTCATTCTGACGGCACCCATTCACTGCAGAGGATCCATTGGTGAGCAAGTGATGTAATTTAAAATTTTTCAATTTTGGGTAAACTATTTATTTAATTATTTGATAACTTGTATAAAAAAAAAAAAGTGCAGCATAGCGTTTCACTTAAAAGGAAGGAACAATGCTTACATTGATGTCTTAAAGCAGGGCTCACCTATCTCGGAGTACCGGTGTCCTGCAGAATTTAGCTCCAACTTGCCTCAACACACCTGCTTGGATAATTCAGGTGTGTATGATTAGGGTTGGAGCTAAACTCTGCAGGACACCGGCCCTCCAGGACCGAGTTTGGTGACCCCTGTCTTAAACGAAGAGACTTTAAATGAAAAAATGTAAAAACAAAAATCTATTTAACATTTAAAAAAAACATTAAAAACAATACAGGACAAAAAAAAATACTAATAAAAAATATGGTATGAGCCTGGTTAAAAACTGTGACTGTTTGTGGTCTAAATAAAAATTAATGATTGCTATCGGGATGTGAAGAGACTTTCAACCAGCATAACAAAAAATGTTTCTGAAGACAATCACCTATTGCACCTTTAAATGAAAAAATGTAAAAAAAAAAATCTATTTAACATTTAAAAAAAACATTAAAAACAATACAGGACAAAAAAAAATACTAATAAAAAATATGGTATGAGCCTGGTTAAAAACTGTGACTGTTTGTGGTCTAAATAAAAATAAAAAAAATCACTGAACAAAACAATGTAAGAATGAACTATAATGAGCTATAATATCTCATGTATTAAACTGATTAAATTCTTTTTATTCCTTTCCCCACTGTCTTTCTCTCAGGTGTCTCAGATTGAGTCCTATATATCTGGCCTGTCTGGAGGAGTGATAGTGGACATGCTGGACTTTCTATCTAAAGAGTTGCTCCGGCTGCAGGAGGAAAGGCGAATCCATGCCTTCACCCTACTGGCTGAGAGAAACCGTCGTATTCGTGAGGCTGAGGAGAGTGGAAGGCGGCAGATCGAGGAAAGGAGACGCAGAGAGGAGGATGAGATATTTAAACAGGTCACTAGAACATCCATTCAAAAATAAATATGCTCTTGTCTCTACCTAACAAAATCATACACTACCATTCAAAAGTTTGATGATTTTTATTTATAAAATTAATGATTTTATGCAGCAGTGAATGTGTTAAATTGACCAAAAGTGACAGTAAAGACATTTATCATGTTACAAAACACTTCTATTTTAAATAAATGCTGTTCTTTTTCATTTTTGTTCATCAAAGAATCATGAAAAATGTGTCGGTTTCCACAAAAATATTAGGCAGCACAACTGTTTTCAACGTTGATAATAATAAGAAATGTTTCACGAGCAGCAAATCATCATATTAAAATGATTTCTGAAGGATCATGTGACACTGAAGACTGGAGTAATGATGCTGAAAATTCAGCTTTGTCATATCGGGAATAAATTACATTTTAAAATATATTCGGACAGAAACAGTTATTTTAAATTGTAATAATATTTCACAATATTACTGTTTTTACTGTATTTTTGATCAAATAGATGCAGCTTTGGTTATCACAAGAGACTTCTTTCAAATTCTTTAAAAAAGTAAAAAATGACCTTCTGAACGTTAGTGTAAATAAATGGTTTATTTTCTTTGGTAAAGCACATTGCCATAGAATTCTACAATAATGTCACGAGGCAATCAAAACTCAGCTTATATTTGTTTAAATGTGTGCCCTAATCAAATTGTGCAAGAATTCATTTTGTACTGCAACCAGCATCTTTGCAATCTTCCTTTTCTATCTGAGATCTCTTGTCTGTATTTCATTTGGCATCAGGTGGTCAAGGTGCATCAAGACACAGTAGACATGTACCTGGAGGATGTCATCCTGGGCTCCATTAATCAGACAGCTGATGCTCAGGCCAGAGAGGAGATTCACCGCAAGGCTGAGGAGCTGAACAACATCACCTATGCCATGGAGGAGATGTACGTTCCTGGTCTCGAATGCTGGGACATTCAATTAAACCAGTTTGAAGATCTCACAACTAGATTGTTTATTGTTGACGATTAACCACAAACTCTTAAAATCATGCTAGACTTATCAGCAAGGCCAACATTTTTTTGAATTATCAAAATAAAACACTTAACTTAATGTTCCGGAAGAAGAGGGATAAAATATATAAATGCACCGTTGGATTTCAACATGTAGAAAAGATTCTATCAACCCTGTACTGACATTCAAAGGCTGTAAGATATGTTTGTCACTGACAGTTGTGTACGTCAGAGGTTTTATTAGATTCAAGATTATTGTTTAGCTGCCAAGGATGTCTGAATCACACGAGAATAGCCCCAAACTGTGTTAATTTGAATGCTTTCTGTAATTATAACCCTGAACTCTCAATACATTCATAATGCTCTTTATTTAGTAAAGACAGGCCATATAAAATAAAGACTTTGATGAAATAGTAAAGTCCCATATAATAATGCATGTAAGATGACTCACTTCCACTTTTAGAAGGTCTTGAAAATAAAATACACAAAGCCATGCTTAGATTTGTCTACAGGACGACTTCCACCCATTGTGCGCTGCCTGTTTAAAAACTTTGCAACATTTGAACCGATTTATCCTGCAAGGCAAAATGCAGAAAAACACAGCTACTGTACATCCTAAGAAATATAACATATGTTTGAAATCTGTCTATATATTCATTCCCTCAATAAATATTAAATTACGGATGTCAGATGCGACAGCACAACCGTAGGAAATCACTAGAATCCTATACTGTGTATTTGCAGGCATATAACTAAACTAATGAGGTAGTATTTCCTAGTTACAATGATCATTGTTATGTGTCCTTCAGCGAGGCTGCCAGCATTGGCTGTTTTAGAGCATTTCCTTTGTCACAAACAGAATCAATCTGCTCTAATCGGCCTGTGTTGTGTCTTTCTCGGTCTGTGTATACGTGCAGGAGGAACAGTCAGCAGTCTGAAGCGATTGTGGCAGAACTCGTCTACAGATTCCTCATTCCTGAGGAGCAGAAGATTACTGTCAGAGAAAGAGGTGGGTTATTCAATAATGGCAGATAATCAGTAAAATACCAAGCTATTGCAGGCCAAGCCAAGTTAATCCCTAATGTTATTATCTACTTATATTTAAAAGAAGTACAATGTTGTTTTTCTGTGGAACACAAATGGATTTAAGGAGCATAATGTAGCATGTTGCTCTTCTAGAGATGGAGATGCTTACTTAACTCATGTTATATATTCCAAGCTTATTAAGAGAGGAGAAATTTAAAATGGTGTCATTTCTACACCACTACTGTCATCAAACAGAGCAACAGTTTGGAGAAATCAACCTACAAATTAAGTAAATATTCATTTGAATTTATACTTACAATGATTGATAAGTTGTATTAATTAAAATCTATATTAGTATTATTCATTTTACATATTAATATTAAATAAAATATTAATTATTAAATAACAAATGTAAAAGTTATATGTTTAAAATGGGAAATTATAATGTAAATATAAGATTATTTAATTCATTTAAAAAGTAAAACATTGGAGGGTTAGTAGAAATGGGCCAGCAGAAAAAAACATTACATTAATCTTGGCTTTAAGTCTGTAAATTGTAGTATTACGTGTAGTATTTCATCTTTGAGTGAAATGAGGATATAAGTAGATGAAAACATTGTGCGTTTTTTTCCATTACCGAGGCATATAAGAGTGTCATAAAAGCTTTCTGAGGTTACAGATCACACAAACATAGAGAACAAAGTTCATTCAGGAATGAACAGTTTCTTAGACTAGTTCCGAACAGCACTTCAGTTTATATATATATATAGTGACATTCATGCAAACATCTTTCTGCTTTCTCTTGTGCACTGCAAGAGTGTCTTAAAATATTTGAAAAGCCTCATGCAGAACTTTTCATGCTATAAATTGTCACATTACCAGTAGGGCCTATTTGTTAAGCTTGATCTGTGAGTTTGACGTGTACAGTGTGTGTATGTATCACAGTGGGAGTCATGTGACCTGTGTTATATATTGAATGAATTATCCTCACTATTTCCCATGATCTGTTTTTAATTCCCCATATCTCCATTATTTGCTGTGTAATAAAGACCCTGTTCATACAAATGCAGTATGTGCACACACAACTCTCTGTCTCAGCTCTACAGCTTGCTCAGGTGACTTTGACTGCATGACTTTACACAGGGAATGAAAGAAGAAGTTATCCTGCATACAACAAAATTTAAATGAATGATTTGTTGGCATAAAGAGATATCTTACCAAAAATGTACATTCGCTCACTGTCATGCCCTACAATGCTGTATGATGTTATTTCTTCTGTGGAACATAAAAGTAGAACAAAGTTACACAAAGCTTTCCATACATTAAAAGTAGATTATGATCCGTGACTGTCAACCTTCATAAGAACAAGAAGCAACAAGAAGTTCTAAATAATTGAGGCTCATTGTTCAAAAATTAATTTGATGAATGGTGCAGATGAAAGCAGTGACAGTTATCAGAGTCTCCCACTAAGATCCTGGCAGGAATGAGTCATTCAATTAGACTTTTAATAATATTGTGTCTTTGTGTGACATTTCTCTGTTCAGCAGGACAGATAATGGCCAGCATCAGATAACAAAATGAAAATGTGTCAAAACTGTCATAACACCCACTCTGCCGTGAGCCTGACTTTTACTTGAAAGCACATAACATAGGTATTTACTAGATTTCATCAGCATTAAACATGATTTAACAGTGGTTCTCACCTGGTTTTGATTTAGAACCCATTGGACATCAAGTGGCGACCCAACACAGTACACAAATGGTTTATTGTACAAAAGCAAACAAAATGTCCTCAATATCAAACACTGAAATTAATTAATTTTGATTAATGTATTTCTTTAATAGTATTTATAAACAATTAATATAATTTATGCAACCAGTAATTCTTCACGCAAAATACTTTTTGGAATAAACAATATCTTTGTTCCAAGTAAACCCAAATGTAATGTAGTCATATTTTCTTAAACGTTTGTTCATGGTTTGAAGATGAGGGCATGTTACACAACCTGTCCATGTTGGCATCTGTCAGATTTGGCTGCTTTTACCAAGTGAAAGATGAATTTGTGCTAAAACACAATGTCTGTTACATTTAACCCTATTTCTGTACCCATTCTTTTTCTGACATAAAAGTATTGTAAATTGTAATGTAAATTGCCCCAAACATGGTGGCACATAAACACCTGCTCAACTCAAGGTGGCACTATCATAAGTATCTTTATGTTTTTACCAGTAATGTAACTTCTGAAGTGCCCCCAAGTCTCCATCCATGCATATCAATTTCCGTAAGAATTTATTAAATTTCTGCGTTTAGAAGTGTTTTTACTCTGTCAGAACAGACATGCGGCCCAATATTGGCCCACCAATTGAAAACCACTTTAAAAATTTACTCTTCGTTCCTCTCTTTTAGTTCGCCAGAGCCAGAGAAGGCATCTGCAAGCAGTTCGTTCAATCATCAGAAGCAGCCCTGGATCTTCTGCGGTCTCCCAGCCCCCATCTCCCTCAGACAGAGCCTCCTCAGCAGTCCTGAATGACAGACTCAGCCAAGTAGAGGAGGCTGTTCCCAGAACTGTGACCCCAAGAGCATTGTTGGCTTATAAACACTAGGCTATACTGCTGTAGCAGTAGTTGCATACTTTTCTATAAACAAATTGCATAATACTCCATTCATTTTGTCCCACCTGTGATTGGTTGTTCTTTCTTTTATTTCCCTTCCCTCTCGACTTTCAGACGGTCTGCTCTTTTGATCAGGAAATTAGGAAAACAAGCACGGCATTGGCGTCTATAGCGAGGAGGGCAATATCTGAGTTAGTTTGGGCTCAAAACATAAAAGCTGCAAAGAGTTTAATTGGCAAAAAACCCGAATGTCTAATGAATGTCAAACGTCAAACTAACTTTACCGCCGTAATTTACTCACCCTTATGTCATTCCAAAACTCTTTAAGGTTCTTCTGTGGAACATAAATGAAGGTATTTTGAGAAATTTTTTTTCTCTCCATACAATGGAAGTAAGCTAATGTTTGGCTCCCAGCATTCTTCAAAATATCTGTGTGTGTGTGTGTGTGTGTGTGTTACACTGAAGAAAGAAAGCCATACAGGATTGGAATAACATGATGATGGATGAGATGAGATGGATGAGTAAATGATGATATAACTTTTATTTTTGACTATCCATTTAAGTTCTTTCTCATTCAGACATTTGTGTCTCTTCTGGTTAACTGATTTTCCAAACTTTTTTTTTTTAACTAGAGACTTCTTAGCTTTTAACTGACCAAAGCTTTTTATGTTTATCATAAAATTAATGCTGAAGTCTTCCAAGGCCGTGCATATTACTGTCTGTAACAGCTTTGAGATGAGATCTCTTGCTTGCATTTGTATGAAAAGTGAGAGAGATGGCAGACCACACGAGAGACATGGAAGTATCCCCACTATGCTCAGTTATACAGAATGACCTGGATGAACGGTCACTATTCAGAAATATTTGACTGAATGCCATGACCAAACCAAATTTGTTTTTGAGAGCGCTGTGCACTGATATGAAGTAACTTGCAAGTCAGGCTAAATTGGATAGTTTGTGTAGTTCTGCTAGCTATATGAAAAGTAAAAAAAAAAAGAAAAGAAAACCTTCAAGCTTTGCGTGTCACCAAAAAACACACAGACTGAAAGCCGAACAATGTTAGATGCTCAGTTTTATGTTCTGAACATATTAGTTGTAATACCCTCTTAAAATGTTAATTCCAACATAAACAGAGCTACTGAAACGTTAAAGGGGTCATATGATGTTGCTAAAAAGAACATTATTTTGTGTATTTGGTGTAATGAAATGTGTTTATGCGGTTTAAGGTTAAAAAAACACATTATTTTCCACATACTGTACATTGTTTCTCCTCTATGCCCCGCCTTTAGCATCATATGACCCCTTTAATGAAGTTACTCTTTGTATGAACGTTGTGTTTTAGAATAGAATGTCGGGGTGTATAGCTGTTTGTTTTTAGCAAAAACATGGGTGTACTGTGTTTTATTTTACTCCTAGAATAAGAATAAATCTATAAAGAAGAAATGTTTTGGCTAGATGTCTTTTTGACCCAGTGTCCAGTAGGGCTGAAACGATTAGTCGACATTATCGACAACGTCGACAATAAAAAATTGTCGACAAATATTTTTGTTGTCGAGTGGTCGTTTGATCTCATATGCCCTAATGTAAGAGCCTGCAATAACGCGGTTTGACCAGTGTGGCGCTGTAGCACACAACTGTAATTCAGCTCTCCTGATGCAATTAAAGAGAAGAAGACAGCGCTTCAGTTCAGAGCAAACGCAGCCGAACCTGAGGCTGCTGAGCGGCGTTTGGATGAATATGTAAATATATACTGCGCGCATTCCTCTCAATAACGAAATAAACACAACAGAAACGGACAGCGGTGCGAAAGCAGCAGTTTACAACGCATCTGATTACAGCTATGTGGATGTTTACACGAGCTCTGCAGTTCGGTACTTCAGTAAAGTCCAGTCACGTCATGTTTATTTATATAGTACTTTATGCAATAGCCTTAAAGTCACCATGAAATCAAAATTGAAAATTCTTATTTTTTAATGGAATACTGTAGTGTTTATTATAAATAATTTATCCGTGCACTTCATTATTTTTTTACAAATTCACGTGCCCTCGTAATCTTTAATCAAAAACATTAACCTCCCCTCCCCCTCAAAACGACTCCTCTACTCTTCCGGTCACGAGCTATGGCGCAAGGGCGGAGCTATCTGGAACTGCCAACAGCTGCAGTGACATCAGTGA